CTGAACCGTATCTGAGCTGCATGAGCGCCCTCCTCCTCCCCAGCAAACAGCAAGCTGGTCTTCTTCAAGGAGAATATGAAATGGGTTGGGGGTGAGGGAGGTAAATAAATTATTTTAGACTCTAGGCTTTCATGAACACCTGGTCAACACTTTCCCCTCTGCCTTTCTGCCAAAGTCAGCTTCTGATCAGCTACCTTGAACTTGGGTTGGTGCATGTGTTTCCTTAATCTGTCAGCAGAATTCACACCAAGTCTGATTTTAGGAATTTAGAAAAAAAAGTGCTAGAAAGAGTAATATTCTCTGCTGCTATTTCCCTCTATTTTTATTGGAGGTTCTAATAATTTTTTAAAAAGAACAGCTTTCCTGAACACATGACTAGAAAGTGGTTATTTCTCAAATTTCTTCCCAATTCTCAAAAAGTCTGAAGTCATTTTACTGGTATAAATAGAACGACCATATATGACTTTTCCGATTATGTGCTCTAAGACTGACAGCTGGTTTATATTTAGAGGTCAGCTTACACTCAGAATGTGTGGCACTTCACTCATTTTGTAATTTTCAGCAAAGGTTGACAACACCTTAGAGGAAATTATATTTTAAGAATGACACTTTAGCTGAAAACAAAGCAACCTCAAATCAAATTCAAATATAATCTGATTTCAGGAAGAAAAAAAAAAAAAAACCCGAAAGAGGCAGGCTCACTCTTCTGCTCTGTACAAAAAGGAGAGGGAAGGGCTCTCGTCAGGCGTTCTGGATGTGACTGTGCATGATGCAGAAACTGCAAATGCACATGGGTTAAACCCTAGATTTTTTTTTTTTCTAGATATCTGTAAAATCAGACAATCTGGATCATCCCCTTATGAACGGACGTAGTTTCAGCAAGACCATATGGACTTTGTCCTTGTTTGACTACCCAACAATGGAACTCCCTTCCTATTTGGGGGAGAATGTCATGACATCAAAGACTGAGACTTTGAGACGCTTCCTGCAGTGTGACCTAGGCTGTTTGCTCTTCCCTTGCCTTTGTTTCTGCCCATTTTCTAAGGCTGGGGCTCAGCTTCAGAGAAGGTCTACACAATATCCTTCCAGTAACCGCTCATTCTGCTTGAGTTAATGGAATTAGTTTCTGCTGTTTGCAACCAAGAATCCTGATTGGTCCATAAGCCCAACCTCTAAATAGAGCAGAAATTATGTATGTAATGCCCTTGGCAGATAGATTGTCCATGAATATTTCCAGCCACAGGGAACATCCTCCTTCCCGAGGCCAGCTGTTCCTCTACTGGATACTTGCAGATATTACAAAATGGTTTCCTTCTTTGAGACGAAATGGGCCTCTTTTCAACTTCTATCCATTGCTCCACTGGTCTTTGGAATAACCCACAGCAAGTCAGCCCCTTCTTTGATACTATAACTAGAAATATTTGTTGCCAATTATCTTAGCCCTCTGTTCTTCATTTCTGGTGTCCAGAGAGAACCTGCGTCTCCCTGGTCACCACCTTTCTTAGGATCCAACACTTGACTGTCATTATTTTCGACTGAACTAAAAAAAAAAAAAACAGCCAGTGTTCCCCAAACTATATGATGGTATATGATGTACAGCACTAGTGGTGGAGGGCAATTAAACAACACTGAATCATACAGTGAGAAATTTCTTTTATTACTTTTAAGCCTTCTGATTCTATCAGAAAGTTTTCACTTTGGAGCTTGTATATCATGAACACTTTTCTAATATTTGCCAACACCTCTTCAATTATTTAGTGACATGGTTTTCTTTTCTATTTATTTTTAAGGCAAGCAATACCAGTTTTCTACTTATACCAATGATTTTAGTTTAGTCTTATTATAAAATTATAAGTATAAAAGTAAGTAAATGTAAAGAAAAATATAAATTAAATAATAATAAAAGTGACGTACAGGAATGGCAAACCCCGCGATGGTGGATGTCATTGACTAGCAGTTGGGAAACACTGCTTTAAAAATAGCTGGTTCACTGCAGAATAAAATGGGACTACTCTTTTTAAAGATTTTTTTTTTTTTAATGTGGACCATTTTTAAAATCTTTATCGAATTTGTTACCATATTGCTTCTGTTTTATGTTTTGGTTTTTTGGCCAGGAGGCATATGGGATCTTAGCTCCCCAACCAGGGATCGAACTGTACCCCCCGCACTGGAAGTCGAGGTCTTAACAACTGGACTGCCAGGGAAGTCCCAGAACTACTTTTCTGATCTCAACACTATATTTCATTATGTAAACCCTTATTATGCTCTCTTTGTTTTTTAGCGATTATTCATTACCATTGGTTTCTTTCAGGAATAACTTCTCTACTTACTTTTGGTTCCTAACCCTAAAAATTGTTTTTCTTTGAGACCTTGGCAGACTGCAGTTAAAACATTATGCTTGCCCTCATTCTTAGTTCCTATGTTTTCATTACACATTCTTTTTTTAAATTCTCCAAAGTTTTATCAGACCAGGTTGATATTGACCAGTTTGGTTTGGAATCCCAAATGAGTAGCATTCAGTACCCTTCTCAAAAGCCCTTAGCCCAAGACCCCACTGAGCAGCAGACCTAGGCATGTTGACTTACCTGTGGCATGTTCCCGTAGACCTACATCAAAGGCAAGTTTATCTGTCTGGGATCTTGATGTAGTCAAACATGTTAGATACTGTGGAACAAGAGTAGATGCTAATGAAGTCATACTCTTCTGTCAAATCTTGGCATCTCACCACTAGTTGGCTTCCAGTTGTCAATTTCAACATTGAGCTACTATGAAAAGGGCCTGTTTATCTTGTTCATTGCTACAGTGCTTCTGGGATAGATTTTTGTAAAATATTTAAAACCTCAAAGATGCTCTTATCTGATGACCCAGTGATTTAACTCATAGGACTATGAGGAATAAGTTTGAAACAGAGAAAGTTTGAAATATTAAATATGCTTTTGTTCAAAGATACTCTGAGAAACTTTTAAACTGGGAACAATATAAACAGAACATAAATGGCCAACAATAATGGAAAGGTTGATAAACTTTGGTACTTTATTTCATGGAATATTATGTTACCACGAAGCATATTTTTCAAGCGTGTGTAACAATATGGAATATACACAAAATGGTGTACTTATATAGTTGCCACGTATGCAAAACTTAAATGCCTAGCGCCCAGGCTAAAGGGAATTACACCAAATTGATAACAAGTTGTCTTTGGACAGTGGGAGTGACCGCAATGATGCCCCCATTTCTATTTATTTTCTGTTTTTCCAATTCGTTATGAGCTTTAGAACTTCTCAAATAATGCCTATGGCTTTTTTTTTTTTTTTCTGATGATAAAAATACATGTGCATGTAAAAGTTAAAAATTATTTTAAAAAATAACTTAATGAAGGAAAAAAGTACACAGCCTGTTCCCTGCCTCCTTTTATTGACAGGCACAGTGGGTGGCCTTAGAATTAGACTGGGAGGCGGATATGCACTTGGCACAAACTTGCTGAGTTTTACTTCTAGTTCACTGCAACAGGAAAATGAAGAATCACTGTATTATACAGTCATCTTCATAGGCTGCACGCTCAATGCTGGTCCTAAAAGGAACTGGCCAGGATAGAGTTCATGTTAACCGAGAGTGGGATTTCTTGGGAGTGAGGGGCAACCAACCTAAGGATGAATAATGTAAACCTTCCTGTCTCTAGCACAATGCTAGCCTGAGTTTTCAAAGCCAGAAGTGTGCTTTTTGAGCTTTTGTTTATTCCATTTAGGTAGAAAAAGAGAGGTATTAGGGTTTTATTTACCCTATGGATAAGCACCAGATTCTTAAAGATGAATGATCACCTCTCAATTCTAGAGAGTGTCAGGGTGCAAAAGTTTCCCCACTCTCTGTCCCCATCTCCTGCTCAGATAACCTTCGATTTGGTCACTTTTGTTCTTTTACCTTTGCCAAGAGGGATTATCACAGATGAATGTTCATCTGTCCCCATCTCCTGCTCAGATAACCTTCGATTTGGTCACTTTTGTTCTTTTACCTTTGCCAAGAGGGATTATCACAGATGAATGTTCAGGCTGAAAAGGTCAACTTCTTACCAGTGCTCAGAAAAAAAAAAAAATGCTGCAATAAATAAATAATTTAAGAGGCAGCTGCTGCTCTCACTGCCAATTTGATAGTTCAAGCTTTGAGACAAACTTTGCAGCTGCTGCAGGTATAAAATGTGTGAAAATAAAGTCTTGAATTCATGTCACAGTTTTCCACTAGGGCTAGAGAAAGAAATCTTCCTTATACTGATAGCAAGGGAGAATGATACATGTAGGAACTGGGGGTAAAGGTTATTAGAACTGGTACATATTATACTTGATTGGGATCATGATATTCCTCTTAACACTCCCTGCAAAAGAACTGCAGTATCTGTGTTTAACAAATTATATTTATTTAAAACTTGAAAAAAATTTCAAGTTATAGTGAGTAATCGCCATTTCGGTTAATTCTGGTTCTAGATCCCTGAATAGATCAAAGCCTGACCTGCTTCCCGTGACTGCTTTGCTCATTGTCTGCCTCCCACCTCTGGATTAACATAATACCTTCAAATTCTTCCAGGACTGAAGGCACCAGATACCATCCTATTTCCTTTAGCTAGTAAAAGAGGAGAAATTTCACAAAAAATCCATTTGATTGCTTTTTCTCCTACGCTGGTTATGCTCGTATACGTCATATGTGCAAGTCATCAGTTATTCCACGGTTTATTTGACCATCCATTCAACAGATATTTACGGAGCATCTAGTATATCCAGGCACTGCACTCGGTCGAGGTAGGTTTAATTAAATACATTTAAAACAAGACACGGTCCTTCTCTGGAGTGGGGAGGAAGGTGGTCAGACATTAAACAAACATAAATATATAAGTGCTCAGTGAGGTAAGTTCCAGGAAGGAAACGCTAAGACAGTAATGTGCTACAGTTATTTCCATTTCAAATGATTCCCGCTGATTACTTAACCTGATCTAGACACTTGCTGGTTTCCAGCCCTTTCTTCCCTCCTCATCTTTCCCCTCCTCCTTGAATGGTGAAAGCGGATCCAGAGATGCTTACCATTCCGCTGAAGGAGTGCCGCAGGAGAATCGCGTGGCCGTACAGCAGGGTCCTGTGGCCACCCCCTTGTGCAGCCTGTGGGGAAGGAGGGCAAGAAATGTCAGCACCGGCCAGGCACGGCCTCTCTGACGGCAAAGCAGCACAAGAATTCTTAGAAGATAGACTACAAAGACAAGACCCATCGAGAAGCTCCCAAGGAATTCATTCTAGAAGCGAGTGGCCAGCCTACAGGCAGGGTGGGGAGGGTACTGGTGACCACAGCCATGCAACATCCCTGGGAGAGCGTGAGTGGGGCCTCTTCTTGAAAACAGCCCCTGCCCGGGATCAGCGGAAACCCAGAGCCGTTCTACTAGAGAAGCACGTAAATTAGATAGTTACTGCTTACCTTCCTTTGAAACTTCTCAGAAGCGTTCAGAGCGAGAGAGAGAGAGAAACAAATGTGAGGTAACTACGGCCTAGCGACAAAAAGGCAGCTTGGGGGCAGGCATATGGTCACAGTCTGTGCCTTGGGGTCTTTTCTCTTCAAGGCACTTTTGCCTCCTGCCCACTCACTTAAATGGGTTCTATTTACCCACATCGCACCAACGAGAGATGGCTCTGAAATCCAGGGCTTTAAAAGGGCAACCAGTGATGCGAGAATAGATCCTCTAGTTAAGGGTCCATCTAGGTGCCCTTTCTGTGCCCCACCAGGCAGCTCCACTCTGGCTGTTCACTCAATGGCAGCCCAAGCAGCGGGAGAGGCCCAAGAGGAAGAGACATAAAACCACCGGTGTCTGCTTCTTACTTTTCCCCTTATCTGATTGGCACCCCATGATCTGAACTGAATAGCACATGATAGGAGACAAGGCTATTATGTTTCCAGTTATAGGTGAAAAGGTAACATGGAAAACTGCAATCTACAGAAAATTCTAGAATGTTTTGGCATCAACATTTTCAACCTTTTACCCAAATCTCTCCCTGTCATGTTAACCTGCCCTCAGAGACAAGTCACATTTTTTTGATCACACACCCCTTTTAGGAAGAAATATTTGCGCATAGACCACCATCCCCAAATGTGGACAAAAAGAGAGCTCAAAGCCTGAGATTAAAATGAATCACAAACAGAAATTCTAACACTTTCCTTCCGTATGCCAAGGGCACCTCTTATGCATCATGTATTAGAGCTACATAGCAGCAAGCCCAAGGGCTGGTTCGAGGGTCTGCTTCTCTCCTGTGTCGACCCCTCATCAGGGCCACGGGTGATGAAGGGGAAGCTGATGGTGGAGAGAAGGCAGAGGTCTAGATGGTAAGACCTGAAGTAATTCTATTTCAACTCTATTTGGATTAACAGAATCACCCTGTCAAAGAGATGATTTTTCATGTCATACAAGGAGCCTAAAGAAAAGGAAAAAGATAAATGTGGTATCATGTTAAAAAAAAAAAAGCCGGTAACTATATATAAACGTGGCTGTGCTTTTTTCCCCACAGCTCTAGAGATATTTAAATGCTCTCTAGACCTTAATACTACGGAAGGATTAAATGTTCTTCACAATATTTCTGAATTTCTTGAAACCATCTGAACTAACTTTAGTTGCTGTATTTACGAACGTGTCAACAGCTTACATTAAAATCAGTCACACTAAAGGATTTTCATTATCTTGTCAGGCTCACTGACAGTTGTAATGTTACAAGTTAATTAATAGCTCACAATGGCTTATGTTGTGGGTTTATGCTCCCAGACTAGTCCTGTGCCTCAAACTGAACTACTCACTGAACTATACATCCCATTGTTAACCATGGGTCACACCCTCCTCCGATTCTTCTTTGTTCCTGTCAACTCTGTGAGTAATGGTAGGTAAAGAGTCAGGAGTTGCTGACCCCCAAAGTGGCACTAAGGGGCCTGTGCTATCCTTCTCTGGCAATGCTGGAAACATCTCCTGGCTCTCATGTCCTCAATTATGATGCCAACAGAAAAGCAGAGTGACTTAACTACCCCACTGGGATTGAAGGGAACGACCCATGCCAACTCTTCCCTCCACTAAGATCTCAGATGCTTGTGCACATCAGCTTGTTAATACACAGGCGGCTGGACCCCACTCCACTGTGTCTGCTTTACTAGGCTCGGGGTGGAACCTGAGAACTTGCATTTCTAATAAGTTCCAGGGAAAATGACATTGATTATGCTGCCGGACCAGAAACCACATTTTGAGCACCAGTGCTTTAAGGAATGATGGAGCTTCCGTGCCAGAAAGGTAACGGAGCTTTTTCTGCAGAAGCTTTTTTTTTTTTTTTTTTGCGGTACGCGGGCCTCTCACTGTTGTGGCCTCTCCCGTTGTGGGGCACAGGCTCCAGACGCGGAGGCCCAGTGGCCATGGCTCACGGGCCCAGCCGCTCCGCGGCATGTGGGATCTTCCCGGACCGGGGCACGAACCCGTGTCCCCTCCATCGGCAGGCGGACTCTCAACCACTGAGCCACCAGGGAAGCCCTGTGCAGAAGCTTTGATAATCGTCATCCTGGTGAGAGCTATCACTGGCACACACCACGCCTCAGGTGCTTTACACCCATCATAGTTCATCCTCCTAACTTTTCAAGGTAGGAATCATTTCATCCACTTGGAACGTGAGGAATCTGAATGAAACTCAGAGAGGAAAGGATCTTGCCACAGGTCACACAGCCGGATGTGGTGGTGATGGTGGTGGGAACTGAACTCAGAGTTAATTCCAAAACCTGACTCATTTCACTGTACTTTTTACAATATATTCATTTGCCTACTGTGTACAAAACCAGGGTACACAGCACCAGGAAGAATAGGATAGAAAGATTCTTCCTCAGCTCCTTAATGAAGGTGAATTGATACAGTTGGAATTAAATGAGCTCTAACTACATGGCAGGCACATAACTACACTAAGTGCTGTACGGGAATCATCTCATTCTATCTCTTAATTAGTGCTGCGAAGTAACCATGGAATTACCTCCATTTTATGGAAGCACCAACTGAGGCTGCAAGAAGTAAAGTAAGTTGCTCAAAGTCATACAGGTTCCAAGGGCAAAGCTGGGATTTAACAAAGATGAGGGATTTAACCATATCCTCTATTATCTCCCTCTCAGTATTCTGGCAGGAGACAAGGCTTGTGTATAAAAAACCATGTTACAAATAGAAATGACATCCCTGTTCAAAGAGGTGAAGACAAACAGCATTGGAATAGACCAGGAGGGTAACGAGGGTGTTAAGGAATTGCTTTATCAAAAAGGTAGACAGTAACATTCTAGTAGGACTGTTGATGTGTAATGATAATTAAAAAAAAAAAAAAAAAAAGAGGAACCCATATAGGCAAAGTGCTGGAGGTGAGGGTATGAAGTACACGTGGGGACTGGTGGGCGATTCACTGGTTAGTGTTGGGTTTGATGAAAGGGAATAGCTGGAAATGAGTTAGGACGCAGGTACAGGCCTGTCAGATTATGGAGGGCCACACCTGACCGTTCCACAGCTAATGGGACACTGGTAGAGGTTGGGTTTTTTTTTTTTAATCATGTAAATGTTTTGTTTTCTTTTTCTTTCTTTTTTTTTTAACATCTTTATTGGAGTATAATTGCTTTACAATGGTGTGTTAGTTTCTGCTTTATAACAAAGTGAATCAGTTACACACATACATATGTCCCCATATCTCCTCCCTCTTGCATCTCCCTCCCTCCCACCCTCCCTATCCCACCCCTCTAGGTGGTCACAAAGCACCGAGCTGATCTCCCTGTGCTATGTGGAGAATGTCACAATCAAAACTGTCCCTTAGGAAGGTAACACTGACTACAAAATGGTAGAAGGACTGAAGGCATCAAACCCTAAGGACAGAAAAGATCATTCTCTCATTCAGTTTCCAGGACAACCTACGGAGAGGATGTAGACCAAAAATCTTGGAGTCATCCTTTACTCCATCCTCCCTCTCTCACTCCACAGTCCATCCAAAGCACCTTCGGTGCCACCTTCAAAATGTATTCTCTAACCGACTATTCAGTGTCCCACTGCTACCTGTCTGGTCCAACCTATTGGCCTGTCTCACCCTGACTATAACACCTCCTAACTGTGCTCCCTGCTGCACCCGCCCCGTTTATAGTCTGAGCTAACACAGCAGTCCGAGCCATCTGTTTAAGACTGTCAATCACCTCACGTTAATTTTCTTGCTCAGAACCCTCCCAATGGCTTCCTTTCACACTTAGAAATATGACGTCCTCACCATGGCTTCTAAGGCCCTGCATCAGGAATTGGCAAATTTTCCCTATAAAAGACCAGACAGTAAATAACTGAGGCTTTGCAGGACACGTATGTCATGTAGTCTTCTTTTTTAAACAACTTTTTCAAAAATTAAAAGCCATTTTTACCTAAAGGGCTGTACATAAACAAGCATAGGCTGGATTTGGCCTGCTGTTGTGATCCCTGCCCTACTCGATCTGGTTCCCTCCACCTATCTGACCTCATCACCTGCCAGCAGGAGGGTCTCCACCACTCCCTCTGCTCCAGCCCCATGGCCCTGCCTCTATTCTTCAGACAAGCAATCTCCTACTGCAGGGCCTTTGCACATATGCTTCCCTCTGCCCGGAATGCTCTTCCTGCAATATTCTCATGGCTCATTTCCATCCTTATTCATCTCTGTGTTCAGATATCTTATTAGAGAAGTCTTCTCTGATCATCTCTTCTAAAAGAACAATCCCCCTTACTTGATCACATTGTTTCTGCTTTATTATTTCTCATGGCATTTATTAGCTGATATATTGTTTTTGACATGTATCTCCCCTCCCTCTCTCCCCCTAGGACATAAGCTCCATGAGTCTTTGGTGTGTTCTCTGCCATATCAACATCACTTTTATCAGTGCCTGACAAACAGGAGGCACTCATTTTCATATTTCATCTTCCTATTTCCTGAACAAATGAATAATAATTGGATGAGACAGTCCTTTTGTCTGCCTTATACAAACGGAAAAAGAGAAGCTTTCCTATGGTCAGCTTGTAAGCAGCGAGCTTGGATTTCAACTTGGGTCTAACGACAAATTCTACCAACTCTTTTCACTATTTGATGCTAATTCTAGACAACATTCCAGGATA